AGGTGGAGGTTGTAGTGTGCCTGGTGACAGAGCCAGACTCCATCCCCTATCCCACTCCCTCCAAAATAAGAAAAAAAAGAAAACCTTTATCCTAAGTCTGTATGTATAAGGAAAGAACATAGTATATATAGGGTTTGGTACTATCTGCTGTTTCAGGCATCCGCTGGGGGCCTTGGGACATCACCCCTGTCCCCATCTCCTGCATAGAAAGAGGGTCCACTGGTTCTCTGGGGTCACCTACAGGATGGTATGGAAGGACATGGAGTAATTAATGCGCCTGTCTCTCTGTCCTTGGTGAACAAGGTGGACTTCTGGCGTGGCCCAGCCAGACCCAGCCTCCCTGTGGATATGAGAGTTCCCTTCTCTGAACTGAAAGACATCAAAGCTTATCTGGAGTCCCATGGCCTCTCTTACAGCATCATGATAAAGGACATCCAGGTGAGGCCCTGCACCCGTTGGGGCCCTGCCTTCCGCCTCCCTTTCTGGGTGGGACCCAGCATGGAGGACATGTCCTCAGGTCTAAAAGTGGACATGCTGTTTCTGGGTCTCCGTCGGTGTGTTTGTGAACATCCTGTGGAAGGAAGTGAGCCACACGCTTCTCAGAAAAACTCTGAAGCTAGGACAGAGTTCATGGGGGAAGCATTCACAGTGTGGGAGTGGAGAGGGTGCCTGTGATGAGTCCTCCTGGGGACGGATTTGCAGCTAACAAACAGCAAAGGCGCGGGGAGAATGGAGACTGGAGGGTTCGGCTGGGTCCTCCCGGGGCAGCGTGGGAAGGTGCCCTTGGATAGCTTCTTCCTTTACTTATCTGATCGCTCCCTCCTGTTCCTGCTGTGTCTCAGCCATCCAGTACCCGGGGGAACTGCTTTACTCTAGAGAAGTGGGAAATGGCAAAAGAAGCAGAGAAAGCACTGGTGTGTTTTCCTTCCCCTGACCTCCACTGCATGGCTCTCTGCACAGGGCATCTTCCCCAGGCAGGATTCTCCCAGAGGAACTGTTTTGGGAGAAGCAGCTATAGACCCACTCTTGGTTAGGACAAGTAGCCCTCATCCTGGACACCCCAGTCTCCCTGCTGCTTTCCCTGCGTCTTTTCTTAACATTGTGAAATTCTGTTTCAATTGTTCTATTTTCCAGAATATCCTAAAGAGCCCCTGAAAGGTGCTGGTAGCACAGCCTCCTTCCTAGAGATCTTTGTGGGTACCACTCCTTGGTTAAGTTCCCCCCACCCCGACCCGCTGCATCTTTCTGCAGCTGCTGCTGCTGGCTGTGTACGTGTGGAACTGTAGCCATAAAGATTCATTCCCATCCTTGTTGTATGGCGCTAATCTCCCCTGAGGGCTCCGAGTGTGGGAATACAGAGCCTCCCGGGGCGGGGCGCACACACTTGACACCGCATGCCAAGGGATCAACGCATTAGGCGGCATTCCTTTCCCAGGCGAGCGTCCTTTCAAAGACCTTTATCCTTCATCAGGCACATCTGTTTCCCGCTCAACATGTGGGGTGATATAGTTCTCTAATTAAATTCCCTACAAACAAAAATGGGGCAACTCTCACAGACAAAAGGGGCTACCACATCAAAAGAAAGAGAACTTCATTCTCATTTTAGCCCAGGCCTCTATTCTAAAGTTTCCATTTCCCTGGTTCAGCCCCACCCTGGGAACTCCACAGCATTTGGCAAACAGATACACAGAGGTCTCTAAAAACTTTCTGTGGATTTCTGCACATCAGAGATGGCCCCAGAGTCCCCTCTGAATCTCCCCCAAGGGCTCTCGCCACATCCGCAGCCCGGAGTCCCTCTAGCGCTTTGCCCTCCCTCTCAGGAAAACGCTGTGACCTCTTAGCCTTGATCCAGCCAGGCAGGATTTTCACCAACTCGTTCTTCCTGCAGTGATCAAGTGCTCACTGCCATACTTATGATCATATTTTGGTTTAGAGGGAGCTGGGGCTGGGGGTGGCTGTTGTGTGGATTTGTGGTTGATGACGGGGAGGGGTCCAGGAGGAGGGAAGCTGAGATTTGCTAACAGGACCTAAGGGCTTCACACCCCTCAGGTTTTTGGCGTCCAGTCTTGTATTTCAGATACAGAGGCAGGGGTCCAATGTTCTCCCTGTCTTCTGGATCTCCTCAGCTGAATACTTGGCAATGCCCCTACAGGGTGGGCCCTTAGCGGTTGTCTGCTGAATGACTTGCTCCTTTGGGGTGTTCAAGACAGGCACGACGTTATTCACTCATCGGTCTTTGTTCCCCTGGCCCCTCCCCTCAGTGAAGGTCCAGCTCCACGCTCCGCATCCATCTTTCTACCCCAGCACCTATGGTAGGACTTGCCGCTCTGTTGGAGATTCAGAAATGTCAGTGGAATTAATGGACATTCATCAGGAAGAGGAAAGGAAAGAGAAGTGGTCGTGTTTGATGGCCAGGACCAGGCTGGAAAACCTCGATGCTGGTTTTCGCTTTTGCCAGAGGCAGGGGAGATTTTGCAATCTCTCCCTCCCTCTGCCCTGTGATCAGAGGGATGCTTGAGAAACATGAGGCAGGGCCATTCATTCCACTCCCAGACACAGAGAGACCTACTGTGTGCTGCACATAGGGCAAGGGGCTAGAAACACAGAGATAAAAACCCGGCCCTGTATCCAGAGGAGCCAGAGGGTTGAGGGGGGCGATGGGGATGGAGGGAAGTAAATCAGTGATTACAATGGAGGATGAGTGGCTGATGGAGTGAGGGCCGTTGCTATGGGAGCGCAGACAAGAGGCACTGCACGCAGCGCTTCTGAGAAGGCAGTAATTACGGTGTGCTGAAGAGCAGGTGAGGGGGCTGGCCAGAGGAAGGGAGACCCCCACCCCGACTGGCGATGAGGCCAGACCCCATTGCAAAGAGTGTCCTCCTCCATGTGACGAGGTCAGGATTTTGTCCTGAAACTAAGAGGGAGCCACTGGAGGTGCTTTGACATGATCAGATTTGCATTTCAGAAAAACCCACCCTGACAGTGAGAGTGTTGAGTTGGGGACAGGGCCAGGGAGAGACTGACAGGCAGGAGAGTGGTGAGGAAATTGCAGCGGGCCAGGCAAGAAATTATCTGATTCCAAGCGAGCTCTATTTGCATTTAATTTTTCTTCACCTCCTCGTTCTTTTCAGCCCTTTGGTTGTTTTTTTTTTCCCCTAGGATGAGTCACCATGGAAAAGCTTCACTTGAGCAATCAGCTCTGTGGATTTTAATGGCTTTTTTTCTGATTACAAAATTAATAAATATTCATGTTAGATAATTTGGAAAATAGTGGAAAGCACAAGGAGAAAACAAAAATCACCCATGCTCTGACCATCGAGAGCAGAATACAATTTACTGCAAATATCGCTTTGCCAATTTCCCTCTTCCTCGTGGATCACTTTCATCACCATGCAAATAGAGTTATTTCTCCCATTTAAAAAAATCCTCTCTTGATCCCTTCCCTCTCCCCTCCAGCCATCACCCCATTTTTATGCTTCTCCATAGAGTGAAACTCCTGAAAACACTGACTCTCCCTGCCATCTCTTCCTTTTCCATCAGCAGGCTGCCCAACCCCTCATTTCACCAAAACTGCCCTCGACAATGTCACATGCAACTCCCAGATCCAACCCAATGGTCGACTCTCAGTGTTCCCCTTCCAACAGCACAACTGGTTGCTCTCTCCTTCCTGGAGCCGGTCTCTTCTCCTGGCATCCAGGACTTCTGTGTTCTGTCTCCAGCCAGCACCTGCTCTCCTGGATGCAACCGCCTACTCATTGTTTCCACCTGGGGGTTCAACGGGTATCTCCAACTTTCCAGGTCCAAACTCAGCTCTTCTGGCCCTTCATCGGTGCCTCCACAGCCCTCCCTGTCTCAGGAAATGACAACACCATGCTTCCAGGCACTCAGACAAGAAGCTGGGAGGCATCCTTGACCCCTTCTACCTGCTCATCAGCAACAAATTCATTGCTGCCTTCAGAATGGATCTTAGCACATCCCACACCACCACACCACCCCCCAGGGGCTGTGCGCCATCTCATCCTTCACCTGGGTTCTTCCAGTGGCTTTCTAACTGCTCCTCCCCATTCCCAACCTTGACTCCTTATTATCTAGTCTCAAAACAGCAGCCAGAAGGGTCCTTTAAAACTGCCAATTCCAACATGTTGTTCCTCTGCTTAAAACTCAACTGATTTGGAGTAAAAGCCAAAGCCCTTGCAAGGGTCATAGGTTTTCTTTTCATTTTATTTTATTTTTTCATTTTGAGACAAGGTCTCGCCCTGTCATCCAGGCTGACGTGCAGTGGCATGATCACAGCTCACTGCAGCCTCGACCTTCCAGGCTCACTCCATCCTCTTGCCTCAGCCTTCTAAGTAGCTGGGATTATAGGCCCACATCACCACACCCAACTAATTTTTGTATTTTTTGTAGAAATGGGGTCTGACTATGTTGCCCAGGCTGGTCTTGAACTACTGGGCTCAAGCAACCCACCAACCTTAACTTCCTAAAGTGCTGAAATTACAGGTGTGAGTCATTATGCTAGATTGGTCATCTTATTTTAAATTGTACCCTTCTTCTTCCCTATTTCCCCAACTCCCTCTTTCCTTCCCATTTCACTTTTCTTGACATTTACCATTTTCTTATCACCGACATGGTTTAATTCTTTACTTTGAAAATTGTTATTTTGCTAGTTGAAGGGTACAGTTTTTATTCATTTGTTTGTTTTGAGTTTGAGACAGGGTCTCACTTCATCACTCAGGCTGGAGTGCAGTGGCACAATCTTGGCTTACTGCAGCCTCCACCTCCCAAGTTCAAGCTATTCTCCTGCCTCAGCCTCCCAAGTAGCCGGGATTACAGGCACAGCCCATCACATCTAGTTAATTTTTTTTTTTTTTTTTAGTAGAGACAGGGTTTCACCATGTTAGCCAGGCTGATCCCAAACTCCTGGCTTCAAGTGATCCACCTACCTCAGCCTCCCAAAGTGCTGGGATTACGGGCATAAGCCAGTGGAGTTCTTTTTTTTCTAAGATGGGGTCTTGCTATGTTGCCCAGGGTGGAGCACAGTGGCTATTCACAGACACAATCATAGTGCACTGCAGCCTTGAACACCTCGGCTCAAGAGATCCTCCTGCCTCAGCCTCCTGAATAGCAGGTACTGCAGGTGTGCACCAACATGCCTGGCTTGAACACCAGAGTTGTAAAGGTAGAAATGCTATTGATTGGTATGACGGTGAGTGGCAGCTCCAGAGAGGAGAAGAAGACAGCAGGGAGGATTGCAGGAGCAGCCAGGGAAGACAGGAAAAGTGATGGGCGAGACCCTGGGAGAGACAGAGTCTGGCTGCATCATGGGGATAGAGACAGAAGAGGACCCAGGTCCCTCTGTTGGACCACATGAAGGGCAGGTGCTGACTGCCTCACCAGCTGACTGTCGCACTCATATGACCATGAATTGGGGCTTTCTGCCTTCCACGTCCTACAGAAGCCATCTTACCTCTGGAGGAATCCACACTTCCTGGGCATGCCTTGTAGTTCTCCATCACAGAGCCCTGGAGTCACCCCAAATTTATTGTCACCCTCCTTATCGTCGTCACCTTCCTCATCATTATAGCTAACATTCTCTAGCATTAACTATATGCCTGGCAAAAGTCTAAGCATTTAGCTTGTAATGACCGTTCTAATCCTTATGAGAACTTTTTTTTTTTTTTTTTTTGAGATGGAGTCTTTCTCTGTTGCCCAGGCTGGAATGCAGTGGCGCAATCTTGGCTCACTGCAACTTCCACCTCCTGGGTTCAAGCAATTCTTCTGCCTCAGTCTCCTGAGTAGCTGGGATTACAGGCATGTGCCACCATGCCTGGCTAATTTTTGTATTTTTTGTAGAGACGGGGTTTTGCCTTGTTTTGGCCAGACTGGTCTTGAACTCCTGGCCTCAAGTGATCCACCTGCCTCGGCCTCCTAAAGTGCTGGGATTACAGGTGTCAGCCACCATGCCCAGCCCTCATAAGACCATTGTAAAGTATGTGCTAAAGTATGTGATAATATAACCTTCATTTTGCAAAGGGGAAACTGAGGCACAGAGAAGTTAGTAATTTTCTGGAACTGGTGGGAGGATCGGGGTTTAGCCTGAGCTCCCGCACCCTCAGACTCCACTCTCAAGCCATCTGTCTCCTTAGTGGTCATCACTGTTGTCTGTGTGGCATTTTAACTTTGCCTTTTGGACAGGGAAGCCTTGTGGCTTGGCCTTGACCTCTGAGGGGATCCATTCTGAAAACATCAGATTGGCAGCCACCCCGCAAATCCAGGGCCACGGGACTAGAGTTGCTACTGCCCATGTAGCTTCTACTGCAGATGTTAGGCCGGGAACATGGGAGGAGAGGCCACGGCCACTGTCCTGGAGCCCCCACCCCACGCTGTTTCCAGGAGCTGCGTCCATTTTGCATCTGCGGTTGGAGTTGGGCTGTGAGAAATCCTGCTCTCCCCCACTCAGCTTCAGTGCTGGGCCCCCCCTGCCTCCTCCCCTGCCCAACCCGGAAGGGCTGTTCTTCCCTCGAGGGTCCCCATCCTTCCTGACTCATCGTAAATTAATTCACACTGAGGTATTACTTTCCCTGTCAGGTTACGGCTTCCAGGGAGGCAGATGGCTTACTTCTGAGTTGGTTGGGTTCTTTGTTTTGTTATTTTTTCCTGAGAAGCCTGACAGGGCTGTCATTAGGCATTCCTCAGCCTGTGGCCAGACTGCATTCTTCCCTTTCTCATCCCCTTCCCTCGGCCCCACGCATGGAGCAAACGGTGTGGTTTCCAGGCCAAAGCAGATTCATGCTCCTGGGAGTGGGGCCAGCTGCGGAGGCTGAGGATTCCCAGTTTGAAAGAGGGTGTCACCTCCATTCACAAGGCTGTGAGGGTGTCTGGAAAGTTATTTGCAGTTTGGTGCTGACTTTGCATTTGCCTCCAAGCTCTCGTGTGGAAGAAGGGACAGCTCCTGGGTCCTGGCTTCCCGTGGGTGTCCCGGGGCTGTGTGGGGAGAATTGGGTCCTATAGCCCTTTTTCCCCCAATTTTTACTTCCTATCCTCCACTTCCACCCCCACTCCAGGCTTCTACAAGATCCCTGGAGACCCTTTACCTTGTCCTCATGGCTGGCAGGCCGCTGTCTTCCTTGCAGCTGCTCGTCACAGCTGATGGCACCAGGCACACAACGGCTGGCACACATTGGTCATGGTAGGCTATTGAGATTTGGGTCAGCTTCCTAGGAAGAAGACAAATTCCTTTTGTTAGAGCTTCCCAGAAGTGATTGCCAATGGCCAGAAAGGACAGGGCTCCTCCAGCCATATCTAACTTACCCAGAAATCCCGGCTTTGCCCCCGGCTGGCCAGTGCAGCTGGAAAACATGGCAACTGTAATTGCCTCGCATGAAGTTGGCACTTAAAAATAAAGTGAGCCCCAAACATCAATTTCCAGTCCCATTTTGAAATCTACGAACTTGAGCATTGTGAGTGAGCCCACTAGGCCTTGGGGATGAGTGATTTATTAGGCTGTGCCTCATCTACGGCAGGTGGGGCGGGAAGGAAGACTCCGCAGTGTTAAAATGCATGCTCTGAATGAAGAAACCCCCAAACAGGCTTTGTGTGAGCAACATGGCTGTTTATTCATCCGGGCACTGGGGGGCTGAGTCCAAAAAGAGAGTCAGCGGAGGGCGGTGGGATAGGAGTTGGTTTTATACGTTTGGGGTAAGCAGTGGAAAGTTACAGAAGTTACAGTTTAGGGTGGGGTTTTTGCAAGCTGGGAGGGGGTTGTAGGTTTGCAAAGTGGGAGGGGGTCATAGGGTCTGGAGTCATAAGGTTGACCAGGGTTGGTTGCAAAATCCAATGGTCTTATCGACTGGGGTTGGAATAAGAAACAATAGAAGAATGTCTCAAGTTACTTAGGCACCGCAGGGGTTAATCGTTCTTCTGCTTTTCATGGTCTCTAGTTACTTCAGGCTTTCTAATTCCAGAAGGCCCTCAGAGGTGCACATGTGGGTCATGGGGGTCGCCATAGTGTCCATGGTGCCATCAGTCAGCCTGAAAGACCTTACACACAGTAGCCTTTTGGTTTGGCTATTATTTATTCATTTAAAAGTTCCTACTTATTGAAGTAGGATAAGCACATTGCCAAAATGTAAAAATAGAGGAGAGAAAAAATTTACTCAAAATTTGCCTTCTTCTATCTTAGCAGGCATTGTGAACATTTTGGTCTATATTTTTTGCATTTCAGTGTCTTGTATTCTTATGTTCAGGGGTCTTTGATTTTTCATTATTGTAAAAGACTTCTAAATTGCAAGAATAGTACAGTGGCGTTTTTAGCTATTGTTAACATTTGCATGCTCTTTCTGTTCACACACACGCACACACACACACAAACATATCTGTGTGTGTGTGTGCGTGTGTGTGTTTAGAAATAAAGTGTTGCTCCATTGCCAAGGCTAGAGTACAGAGGTTCGATCATAACTTACTCTCAATCATAGCTCACTCTAGCCTCTAACTCCCAGGCTCAAGCAATCCTCCTGCCTCAGCCTAAGTAGCTGGGACTATAGGCACACATCACCAAGCCTGGCTAATTTTTCAGTTTTAATTTTTTGTAGAGACAGGGTCTCCCTTTATTACCCAGGCTGTTCTTAATCTCCTGGGCTTCAGCAATACTCCTACCTTGGATGGACTCCCAAAGTGCTGGGATTACAGGTGTGAGCCACCATGCCCAGCCTGTATATATGTTATTAGTGTTGGCCTTTAGTTTTGATAGTTGGCCTTAAGGAACCCAAGGCTACAGACTAGGATAACTGGTTCTCATCTCACCTCTGCCACTTGTTAGCTCTGCCATCTCCAATCTGCATTAGCGCTAACACGAATAGCTCCTTTCTGTCCTGTTATTGGATCCTCTGACCAGATCAAGCGAGATCATGAGGATAAAGAAGCTTGGTCAACTAAGGCTCTAGCCCCAAATAAGTAGTTGGCAAGACTTCGTTGTCGCCCAGTGCTGCAAAGGAAGGGCAACTTGGGTTAATGAGGATGCTTTCTCGGCATCCTTTGTGGCAAAGGACCCAGGTACTTCCCACACTGGACAGTTGGTGCAGAATCCTGGGGTGCCTTGACCCCTGGATGCTGATGTAAGGGCATGAGTTTGGGTGAAGGACACTAGCTCATCTCACTGTGACCCAAGCAGGGAAAAATGTCCCAAGATGATGTTGGTGGTCTGAGCAGTGAGTGAGTGGTCAAGCCAACCAGGCACTACACTGTCCTCTGTATGGGCAGTGGGAAGTACCACGTAAGGTTTGAATGCTGACTCCGTGTTGATACCCAAGGACATTGCTTTTGGCTCACTCAGACGTGTGCTTAGGAGGTGAGTGAAAGCCCACTGGCCCATGACTCATAATGATTTGGACTGACTTTGGCCAGGCCTGGCCTTCTGAATGGCTTGTATACCAGTTGTCTAGGCATTTCCTGGAAGTGGAGTTAATGTTGGGGGTGAGAGGAACCCTCTGCTTCTTCCAGGGGGTCAGCGCACATGGTCCAGTGAGGGTCCTGAATCAACAGTGTTTATCAGGTGCAAAAGGAATGCTGGCAGTAGACCATGAGCACCTTTCTTTCTCCCAATAATCTCCTTCAAATCCATTATTACATTTTATCCTATGAGGTGGCAAGGCAGATACTGCTTTCCAAATTTTCAAGCAGAGGAAACTAAGGCCACAGCAAGTTCCGTAGCCAGTTAGTGGCAGAGGCAGACCTAGAACCCAGCTCTCTAGACTCCTTGTCCTGTGCTCATTTGGGAAATGGCAGCATGACTGCCAGTTTGCCAGGCAGAAGAGTCACCCAGCAACCTGGAGCTTCCTTCTGTTGTGCAATTCACACTCAGGGTGGCTCATTCTCCTGTGTTGCTGCTGTCTTTATGCACAGCCAGCAGAGGCAGGGATCAGAAGAGGCATAGCCAGCCCAGCTCTCCCCTTCTTTCCAATATGTGTTCCTCATCACCCAGGTGCTGCTGGATGAGGAAAGAGAGGCCATGGCAAAATCCCGCCGGCTGGAGCGCAGCACCAGCAGCTTCAGTTACTCCGCATACCACAACCTGGAGGAGGTAGGTATGCCTGGGGAAGCTCTGGGCTCTTTTGTATCTTTGGGCCCCTTAGGGTCTCCTGACTCAGGCAGAAACTAGTGAAAGACTCTAGGGTTTATGGGAAACTGTGACTGACACTTGGGGACTATACAGCAGACATTAGGTCTGCTAGGCAGAGAGTCAGCTTCAAAGAGGTCCAGAAGCCAGGATTAGATAGAGGGGACAGTAGTTCAGCTGTATAGCCCTAGGCAGAGTAATGGGTCTCCTAGGCAGAACACTAAGGCAGGGACCCATCATGTCCTTCATACGAGAGAAGCTACCTTAATCTCGACAGAGCAGGAGCATCACCATCTTGAACAAACATTACAATTCTAAGTTTCCTGAGATTAAAAAGCAGCCTAAATCCAGTCCCTATAGTTATAAAAAGGACAAAAATTGAACAGAAGCCCCTCTCAGGTTTAATTTTCTTAAATACACCTGACTGTTAAGCTGCATTTTGTGTTTCTTTCCTCTTTCTTTAACTCTTACACACATGTCATCCTGTGGCTGGGAACCTAGGGCTCTCAGCCTGTCCATGACCAGCCCTGGTGTTCATGGCCCCAGCTGTGGGTGCTGGGGTATACGAGGGGCAGGAAGCCAGGAACATTGGAGAGCCATGTTTTTAGAATAAAAAGGAGTTGCCCTCACTTGGAGAAAATTCATGATCATAGTTACAGTCAGCCAGGGCAGGTGTATCCAATTGTGACTTGTTTATAAAGAAGAATGAACACAGAGGGTGCAGGGACGCCTACTCCAGAAAGGAACTCAAGGCACAGGTCTCATTTTGCGTGTCAAGGACATAACATTATTAATATCATCCATTTATTATCATAATCACTTTTCCCGCTTCACAAGTCATGGAATAGAAAATCCGTTTTCTTTCACATATTTGTTAATTAAATTCCATACACTGAAAGAACAAGAGAATGCAATAATACAGTCTGTCACTATTGATGCCAAAGACAAATAAAACAAGAACCCTGCCTTCAAGGGCCTTACAGTCTAAAAGGAGCAAGAAGATAAAAACAACACTACATGGTCTGTGAGATCTGTCAAATGGATTGAATAGGCCAAAGAATGGAGGCGAGACAGAGAGAGAATTCCCAACCAGAGAGAGCCGTGTGGGTGGAGCCTGGGGATTTGAGCAGACTCAGCACACACTGTTCTCCCAGGCAAAGGCACAGAGCAAGGAACCTGGGAATCCAGCAAGACCACAACTCACTTCCTTTAGCTCTGAGGGAATGCTCTACTTTTGCAATTCTTTATCTGGGTTCTTTTGGATTCTTTGAGGAGGTGGGAAAGCATTGAGGAGAGTGGGAAGGGGCACAGAGAATATTCAGAGAGGCCGTGGTGTTCCTCCTGCGTAACTGCCAATCTTACACACTTCTTTCCCTTCAGATATATAGCTGGACTGACAACTTTGTAATGGAGCATTCTGATATTGTCTCAAAAATTCAGATTGGCAACAGCTTTGAAAACCGGCCCATTCTTGTCCTGAAGGTAAAAAGCCAATGGTGTCAACTTGTCGACTCTACATTGAGGCCCTCTGGCATAAGACCGAGCTCACGTGGGGTAGTGGCTAGGTGGGAGTTTTGTGGAGAAGGACAATGTGTATACTCCTGTCCCCAGGTGACCTATAAGCTTTGAGGTCGTGGCATTCAGAGATCCACCCTTGTATGTATGAAGAGGTGACAGTGTGGTGACCTGGCATGTCCTTGGTCAGAAACTAGGTGGGAGGATGTCTAAGGGGTTAGGGCTGCAGAGTGGCAGTTGTCACCCTGGACTTGGGGTGTGAGTGTGGAGGAGTTGGCATTCTTTCTGTTACCCCAGTGCTTCATCTGTTTAATAGGAACAGAGGTACATAGAGGTACACAGAGGGCCCACTTGCTTATGAGGTCATCTGGCTCAGACAGCCCTGCAGACAGGCCGGAGTCTGTAGAGAAACTTCCCAACCCTTCACAGTGGCCACTGGAACAGAATTCAAGCAAACTCAGGATCCTTCAGTTCCCTGGGTCATGAAGAAGTAGGAGAGGTGAATGCAGAGCCCTCAGGAAGTAATTCTTAGTTAGAGCCCAAAAGGGCACCCAGGAGTGTGGACCCTGCGGGGCATTTGGCATCAGC